GGAAATGATGGGGAACATGAAGGGGAAATGAAGGGGAACATGAAGGTGAAAGGAAAGGAAATGAAGGGGAAACGAGGGCAAATGAAGGAGAAATAAAGGGATGGGAAATGGAGTACAGGGATTGGAGATGAAGGGAAATGAAGCGGACACTAATGAGAAATGAAGGGGAAATACAAGGGATGGGATATCAAGGCAAATGAAGGAGAAATAAAGGACAATGCAGGATGAACTGGAAATGAATAAACAATTAGGGGCCAATGAAGAGAAACAAAGGGGAAACGAAGGGGAAACGAAGGGGAAAGGAAGGGGAAACAAGGCGAAATGAAGAAACATGTTCTTCCTCGCTGTTCAGTTTGGCCTGTGCTGCAACAATTCGAGTGGCAGAATGCGTCATTGTACTATAGGTGACGAGTATTTCAAATATATAGTTGTGGCCGCCTGTATTGTTTTTGCCTTTCTTTTCATCTGCCTCGCCAATGTCATACAGCATTTTGTTTAATGTTCAATTGACAACCTCACTGAATCAAGTTCTATGCATTGTTCTTTCTAGTAATCTGGTTTTGCTTTTGTACTTAGTACACCTTCATCATGGGGTAAGCAGCAATTCTACGACTGTACTTGTACGTATAAGACTCTTAGACAGCAGGCCTGTAACGTCGGCGGTGAGCCAGAGGCGTTCAAGTAGCTGACAGAGAATTGGCAAATTCGCCCCCCTTCGGGCTCAAAGCACCTTAGCTACTCTGCCCATGAAGTCGACCAGAAACACCTGAAGCGGAGTACCTCAAGGAAGTTTTTGGGGGCTCATGTCAGGTTCCACGTGTGTAGCCCCGTACCAACCTTTGGCACCCACCCAGCCCGTTCTGCACCGGCGCATGGAGTGCACAGCGAAGCCCGGCATGTCGCCCTCGCCCCAGAGCTGCTCCAGGCAGCAGTAGAAGGCCTCTGCCTAGCGGAACGGCTTGCACGTGGCGTTCAGCTTCCCTATTGGCGGCTTGGAGTGGTTCTCCCTGGAAATAAAATATGTCCAGTGGTGATAGATTCCCTGTAAAATCAACAGGGAAAATATAATGTATTCTTAACCAAATGGAAGTGGGTTGGACTCAAAAAGTGGAACCCTGCTCATGTTAGTTTGCTGGAGATGGCGTGTTCTTTTAAATGATGTCTTTCTTTCGAATTTGCCCCAAAAAAAACATAAATCGGGTATGAACCCTAGTTCTCGCAGAGGGTAAATGGGAAACCACCTCCTAACCTCCAACCCACATGTGGTTGATTTCCCCAAAGGGACATCCCTGGGTTTCAGTCCACCTTGTAGTTGTAAAGTGGAACCCTGAACATGAGTGGCACATCCAACCAAACCCTTTGGGCAGGGTTGCCTTCAACATCAACCCATGCGCAATCCCATTGTCGGAAGCGAAACAAGGCTGGTCAATACGGCTGAATCGCCCCTCACATCTTCTAGAGACAGTGGTCGGGTCAAAGGCATCGTTCACAATGAGGATTTCTGTCCAACCGCCATTTTTGTGCGGTTCCCATGCAGAGCAGCAAGTTGGAGGACACAAGCAGCGTTCCCTCATCCGCATGAGGACCTTTACAAATGGCCACGGTTTCCTACGTTCCTTTCATCCCAACAAGGTCTGTATATGGACGTTTTCCGACGTGGCACCTAGAACTCATAGCGGCCATGTTGAAATATGGCTGTAACAACTGGACCATAACACCTGTCAAACGCCCTGTGTTTCAAAAGCTGTTAGGTGTCCTTGCGCTGTCATCTCTGCAAACCCCCTTAGCTCTGGCCTGGGACTTGCAATCTGTGAGCATTGGGATGAAAGATGGGACAGGGAGCATAGGCTTGGAGACCTTCGCATGTTTCCGTGAGGGCGAAACAGATGGCCGGTTGCACGGATCCATTGTAAATATCTTCCCCCTATTGATAAAAATGAACCCTATCAATACATACATTGTCTATCTCAGAGCCCCATCTCCCAATAAGAAAGTCGAACTAGCCAATACTTACTGAACCAATTCTAAGCCAGTGCATTTCCCGCAAACCCCAACTCCGGTCGTATTGGGGGACGGTTCAACAATATTAGACCAATACTAAATCAATACTAAAACGATACTAAATCAAAGTTTCAATCAATTCAGCCCCAGCACTAATCCAACAAATGACTTTAATCTCTGCTATCGACACAAATTATGTACTTGGAAGATACTTCCCTTCAAGGCTGGTTGAGCGATTGAAGGGGGTCAAAGTACCTCCTCCTTTGCTTGGAGCATGAGGGCTTGTCAGTCAGGGAAATGTTGAAAAAACCCCGGGTGGACATCAATCCCCATGCATGTCTGATGTCCACAGGGTCCCGATCCCGCATGGACAAGGCAAAACGGTAAGTTATAGAAAGACTTAGCCTCGGTGCCCTGGGCTTCAGTCTTCCGTGGAATCCAAAAACGGAACCCTGCCGTAGCCCAGCAACTACCAAAAATGACTGTAGATGTGTACTGTAGTATGTGATTCTGGTCCATATGGGTGTTTCTCATAGGCCAGCTCCTTCAGGTTGGTTTCCTTTTGGCGTCGCACATATGGGTGTTTCTCATAGGCCAGCTCCTTCAGGTTGGTTTCCTTTTGGCGTCGCTTAAGCATCCAAAGAGAGCCAGTAAAACGTGTCCAGCATTGCTTCAAGCAGGACCGGGTCGGTATTTTGTGACTTACTCACTTCCCGTCCCTGTATTGAACATCTGAAATTGCAAAAGACACCCCAGCCCAAATAGCTGAAGGAATCTTGGTGACTTCCCAAAAGAACATCGGGAGCCCATCGAAACCAACCTGCTAACCACTCCGTCCTCTTCCAGAAAGCCCAGGAGGCGCAGGCTGACGAGCACCCGGCTGATGCGAAACCAGTTGTGGTTCCCCTCTGGGCAATTCACCACCTCGGCAAGCGCCGAAAGCGGGAAACAGAAGGGAAAAGGTGGCAAGACTCAGTGAAAAGCCGCCGGGCAACTTAGGGACTGAGGCAATCAGATTCGCAAGTTAGGGAACCGGCAAGAGCAAGAGATTCCACAGCAAGCTAGCCAACGCCCAGCGAAACCAGGGGGCTTTCGCAAGCTTCCTGCAAAATAGTCCGTAAGAAAAATAAAAGGATTCGCATGGCTTGCGGATGCCTCCGGAAACAACACTTACACGGGTCCGTAAGTTTTCACAAATATCATGGCTCATCGTAGATTCGGCAGAAGTTCCGAATCTGCAAGCCCCAAGTCTGACAGGACAGTGTATGCAAGCTTCCGGCAGTTGCGGCTCCAACAATCCCAGTTTGACTTGGGGAGGATTGACCATGGGAGCCTGTTTGTCCTGACGTTTGGATTCGGGCCCGAAACAGGTGGGCTCAAAAAACAGGTTGGAGGTCGAACAAAAAATCAGTCCCGAGATGCCTGTGGCTTGCTGTTTGCATCATGTGCCGTAGCGGCACAGCAGCTTCAGACACAGGCTTGGAGCTTCCCCGAGGCTTGTGATAGGGCAGCCTTTATTGAAATGTCCATCCTGCTTAGCAAGCAGGTTCTAACCCTGGTTTAAAGCGAGCTAACCCTGTAGTAGCACTTATACCCCCTGCGAAATCACCTCCTCACTAGGTTGGGCGATAAAGAAAATATGCTTAACCCCAACTGAGTCAAAACCAACACCAAGTAATCAAAGAGCTTGCCCCAAACCAAGTGTAAAGCATCAAAAGGCGGTTGCTTGCCGAGCCTATTTCATCTTGGGACTGTTCCATACAAAGCTTCAGTAGGGTTCCCAGTACTCCCTCTTTGAACAGAACTCCAACCCAAAGAAAGCACATAGCTTTGCCTTTCCAAATGCGGATGTTGAGCTTCCAACTTATGAAGGCAAAATATATGGAGAGCCATGTACCCAGGCAAGCCCGGCATTTTAAGCAAAAGAAAGTTGACCGAGGAATACTGCCAATCACTTCAGGGGTGTTCTCCCTAAAGTGATAAGAATGGGGTGTGACCCATATGAATCAATTGGGAGGGTTCTTAATACTGGGTCAGCATGAATACAGGGAATCCAACCAACCTTTTGAGGGATTCATATGGTTTTTCTCGTGGCTTCCCTTTAAACAAACCTGAAAAGTGTGCCCTCAAAGAAAAACAGACAGCCCTACACCCAACCGAACGGAACGCCGAACCTAAACCCACTCAACCTAGCCCAACTCAACCTAACCGAACTCACCTAACCGAACTCAACCCACACCTCTACCCCCCCCCCCTCCGCTCGGTCCCATCAAAGGCGCCCAGCAGTCCTTTTTCCGGGACCGGAAGGCTTGGCCCTTGCACACCTTCAGTGACGCACGCCTCACCTCGTCCTGCGGGCCGCACGCTCGCCCGTGGAGTGTAGCCAGGCAGGTGGCTTGCCGCCACCGTAGGGAAGGGTTGCTTTACAGGATCTTTGGTTACCTACTGTGGATGGAACAAATCCATTTCTCAGCACCTAAGAAACCGTGGTTGAAACCAGGGTTGAAACCATTGGTTGTTGGTATTTGCAGGGGAATCATGATTCCAGGATGTCTTAGGTGGTGAGGGATTGCGTCCATCCACAGTACTAACCTAGCATAGGAAGCACGGGGTAGGCCCCTTGGTGGTCATCATTTAGGTTGAGATTTATGTCAACCAACCATTTGGGAGGCTTCCCGGCTTCCCATTACAAATCAAAACCGCATAAGTTCCAATGATAGCCATGGTCCAAACTCAAACTCACTTAACGTACAACATTGTGTAACCATACCCAATGCTACGTAGTTCAAACTAAGTATGGTTGTAAGCCGATCAACCCCCAAAAGTTTCAGTCACCATGGTTATAAGCTAGTACCTAGGCTGAACATCCAAGTGGGCGCTGGGGGGAAAGGGAAAGGGACATGATTCACCCAAACACGTGCGCGTGTGTGCGAGTGTGTGTGTGTGTGTCTTGGTGTGCTTGCTTTGTGCGTTGCTGATTGGCCAGTTGATTGCTTTGGCATTTATTGTGTGTTGATGGTTTGTTGGCTGGTAAATGGGTTGGAACACCAAACGGAAAGAACCAACCCACTAAGTAAGGGCTACACAACTGAAAAAGAGACCTGTAAGTAAGTTACAGTATATATGGATATGGATCTGTCTTACATTGGGGGATTCAAAATGGCAACGGTAGCAACGGTTTCCAGCTTCGCGCCAGGTGGAAAACCACCTTTCAACTGGTGCGAAACGGATTTTGTCCCTTGGGCTTGAACTTCAGAGTTGGGACCTGAAACACTGGTGGACATCCAGCCCCATCAGAATGATGCCCACCAAAGGGGAAAAAACATGACCATTTGGGCGTCCTTTTGTGGAAAGGTACCCCTTTTTTGTTTTTCTTCTGATTTTCTTTTGCGTCCATCCGCAGTATCAAGCTATCAAACTGCCCCCGAACCCTCGCGTTGCGCGAGCAACCGCTCCGGCGCCACAACCTCGAGCGTGCTGGAGGCCGGCAGGTCCTGCCCGAAACGGCTGGCCGAAGCGGCCGAGCAACGGAACGTGGCGTGGGACGTGCACGGAAAACCGCCGGCCAAGTTGATAAGCCTTATAGTGAACATGGGCTCTTGCAGCGGCTGGAACGTGCGAACAAAATAAGTGGCCGAACCCTGGAGGGAAGCTCAAACTCTCACTAAAGCTTTCAAACAACACGTGCTCATTCTTTGCAACCCCGCGTTTCAAATCGACATCCAGAATCAGTTTGAGGGACTCATGTTTGGGAGCCCTTCGCAGCAAACAGCGCAGAGGTCAGTTTGTCAACACTTTGGGTTGCCAATCACAACCCCAACAGGAAACCCAGCGGAAAATTACTCAAAGCGCCAAATCCAAAACAATCTTTGGATATCTACGTGTTTTGCTATCCCAAACTCGGGTAAGGGCCTGTCCTTTTGCTTCTTCATTGGGGAACAAAGCAATGAACTGTCTTGGACTTACCACCCGCTATGCTGGGTTTCCCTCAGGAGTCATAGGCTGCGGATACCAGTTTGTACCCGCTCCCCCCTTCACCCCCCCAAGCTCGTCAGTCCTCGTCGAAGACGTACTCTAAGCCAAGAAACACCAGGAACTTCTCAAAAGCTCGCAGCACATTGTCCTCCACCTTCAGCGCTGGACTGACTCCAGCAACGCCCCCATTCTGTTGTGAGGAAAACTGGGCGGCTTTGCTGCTTCCCTCAACCGAAACGACCCGTTTTTCTTGCAAATCCAATCGGTGTGCCGAGCCTCCCGGTTCCTGTTGGAATTGGTAACCTTACGTTGCATTTGTGCATGTGGTTGTTTTGTGGTTGTTGCACTTGCAGTTGTCTAATTTTAGGTCATTATCTGCAAGGCAAAAACCTACGCTCAAATTTCAGGATGTGTGGCCGCGGCAAATCCACTCGATGCCGCTGGGTTGTGCATGCATCTCACCATGACATCGCCAAGATGAAAACCACTCATTTTAAAGCCCATCAGGGCCCATCATTTTGGAGACAGCCTCAGCCTCAGGTCCTCAGGAGTCAACAGCCCAACCTTGCTTTTGGCGGATCTATGGTGCGGAAGTTTTTGACATCAGAAACCCAAGGGGCGGAAACGCAGCTCACCCTCCACCGGGCAATAAGCTGTATGCGAGTGCCTGGAGGTTGGAACTCTTTTTAGGGGTGAATTGAAGGGAAACCACGGGAGAACCCCAAGGAGGCGCCGCCAGAGGTAGCGAAGCATTGCTGAGGCAGTTGTTCCCGGCAGCAGCACAGCTCTCAGGACGGCCCACGTTCTGGCTGATGCCAGTCGATTCAGGCCAGGGCAGTTGCCAGTGGCGTACTTCGATTTCTCTGGGCCCTCCTCCTGTCCCAGCGCAAGTGTTGGCCTCCGCAGCTCGACTCCGACCCCAGCGTGATGCTCCGGCGCCCTCAGCTCGGCCATATAGCAGTCTTGCTCTCCCTACTTAGCTTTCTGTGGCGCGCAAACGCCGCTCTCCAGACACCCCTAGTCTTGCTCTCCATGTTTCCGGCGCCCCCAGCTGACTCCGACGCCCCCCACCAGCTCGGCCATGTTGCGTGTTTGCTCTCCGCACTTTGCTTTCTCTGGGCGTCCGTGACGTGCAAATGGCGCCCTCCAGGCCCCCCAGCTTTAGACTCCGGCGAGCTCGGCTGTGGCACTTAGCTTTTTTAAAGCGCCTGTGACGTGCAAAGAACGCCCTCCGGCGCCCCAGCTAGACTCCGGCGGCGCCGCCGCGTGGCGGTTCTTCAAAGCGTCCGTGATGTGCAAACGGCACCCTCCAGCAGGCTCCGGCGCCCCCCAGCTCAGCGCCCCCAGCTCGGCCATGCGCTCTCCATGCTTGGCTTTCTCAGGGCGTCTGTGATGTGCCAATGGCGCCCTCCAGCGCCCAGCTATGGACTCGGGCGCCCCCTGCTAGAGCCAGCTGCACTCCGACGCCCCCATCCATTTTTCCGGCGCAACCAGCCAAACTCGGGCGCCCCCAGCTCGACCATGTGGCAGTGTTGCTCTCCATACCTAGCTTGCTCAGGGCGTCCAACTGCGCCAGTCTCGCGCTGAGCCAATAAAAGGGCGACAAGACGGGGCGGGCCAAGCGCGGCAAGCAACCTTTTTATATAGGGGCCGGCGGCACAAGGCGTAGCCCATTCTATTACTCGAAACCGATTCGCAGCCAACCCAATAGGGGCCCAATCAAAACGGATGGCCATATAATCTTATATCCCTTGCATATTTTGGAGACAAACCCCAAAATTAAATGGGAAAAACACATGGAGAATCTTCATCCTGAAGGATGGAGGTTTCGAGCCCAAGACAGCTAGGGTACCAAATGATAGGTGTCCTCTCGGCTTTCTTGCAACCGCACACAAACAGGGTCCAACACAATCATAGGAGCCACACACATGTTCCAAAGTCAAAACCTGAAGTCATGTGTTTCTTTCTCTCCTTCTCTCTTTTCTGCTCTCTTGCTGTCTCGCTGGCTCGCTCTCCCTCCTTCCTACCTCCACTACCTCCCTCCCGCTCCAACTGCCGCGGGGCGTTTGGATCGATCAGCATCTCCTCTTGGACCTCCGGCGTCAAGACCGGAGCTTCTGGGTGATACTCCTCAGCTCAGCGAGCCGATGCGTCCGAGCGTATACCTGTCCTTTTCTTGGGGCGATACGTCAGAAACAAACAACATCACCCTCTTTGGGTTCCCTTTTGGGACAATTGAAAAGGGCTATGTTACGGCCAATTCATGTGATCTGCCCCAACGCTCCGAGGAGAGCCTCGGGTTGGCCGCAAATGCAAATTACTGCGCAGGGTCAGTGGCTTGGGACTTTGGAGGGCCAAGGGGCTCCTCTAGTCCAAGTGGCAAACTCGGCGGAAAGTACGTCCCAACAACCCTAAACCCAAACCCTAAACCTTAAACCGCAAAACCCCCGAATCCCTACACAATCCCGAATTACTGCACAGGGCCAGTCTTGGAGTGTTTTGGGACCAACCCTAAACCCTACTAACCCCTAAGCTTAAACTCGAAGCGGGGTTATTTTTAGCAAGATCTCACCTGATTGTTGCAAGGAGGTATGCATGGGGCAAGAACGACTTGAAGGCTTGAAGGGTCAAAAGGCCAAACGACTTGGATCACCGTCACGATACGCGTCAAGAGTTGAGGTTGCAAAAGAACAGCACATTTTGTTCGGTTGGAGGAACGAGCAAAGGGCATGTCAAGAAGTTGTTTCGAAACAATCATTTGTATCTACACCTTCTAAGGGATCCAAGTACCCGAGTGGGAAGACGTCAGATCTATTTCGATCTTACCCGGGAGTTGTTGGTTTGCCGAACAAGCAAGTAAAAGTAGGGCTCCTGTTTTGGGGTGACGGTCAGCGCTTCACTGCACCACGTTGGGAGGCTTTGAAACAGCCACGAAACAGGACTTGATCCTTCCCGGAAAGGAACATTTAATCTGAACAAAGGTAACCTCAGGACCGAGAAACCTTCGTGTGCCTTCGTTGCAACTCAAAACCCTTGAAGGGCGGCATTTGCCCCACATCTCCCGAGCTTGCTTTCCACTCAGGCGAGCCATCTCGGCACCGGTTCAAAAGTCTCTTCAGACCAAGGGGCGCTCTCCTCGTCGGTGGGGAAGAGCCACTGGATGTAGTTGTGCTGATCTGGCGATGTTTGTTTTAGATGCGCGAAGAGCTCTTTGCTACGATCATGAATGGTGATGGTCAAGTCCTCGACACAGCCATAATCTTTGTCTTTTTGTTTCAATGCAACTCAGGATTCAAACAAAGGCAATCAACACTATGAACTGCTGTCAACCAACCATGATAATTCAATTGGTATAGCACCAGACCTCAGATGCTCTGACATGGCTATATGCTTTTAGAAAGCTCCCAATATCCGAACCAACAGTGGGGATAGCACTGTGCTTTGGGTTGCTTTCGGAGACCCAAAGGACGCCAACCAGCTGGGGGAGGTCCGCATTTGGAGACAAACCCATCTCACCAAACAACAGCTTCGTTCTTGGCGCCCGCTGTCCCTTCTTGGCTTGAAGAAATACGTCTGTGACAGATTTCTTAGTAATCAAAACTCCGCTCGTCAACATCCCTAAACGATGTAATGTGCGATTTTCCGAATTGGTGGCCGCAGCAAATGATTGGTCTCCCATCATCATTGACATGTTGACAACCATATAAAAGCGCTAAGCATCCATGCACAACCAGGTGTTTCGACAGAGGGAGACACCTGCGAATCAAAGTCTCTGAGTTCAGCCGTCCGAAATTCGGGCTCTGCACAAAAACACTGTTTACATCCTCGCGTGTGTTGTCTTTCTTCAGGGCGATGTTTTCTTCGGCGGTGTTTCTTTCGGTTAAAGGGAAAACTTCAAGAGGAACGCCCCATTTTGCAGGTTGGATTTCTCTGGAGAAAAGTCGCTGGGCCACTGGGCCACTGGGCCGCCGGGCTCTCCCACTTCTCCAAAGACCACTGCAGGATGGTCTCCAGTTCATTGCCCTCTGGCCCCGGGCCCACGCCGCCTCGCGGGCTCGAGTCACAAATGGGTGTGTCGTCTTTTAGGTTGGAACCCCCCAACAAAAAAAAAGGTGAGTTCCTGTTAGTTCCCTTTCAACCAAGTACCCAAAAGCAAGACACCCCCCAAATGACATGATTCGGCTGGCTAGATTCTGGGGCTGGGGTAACCAGGCATGGCGTGAGCTTGGTCCTGAGAGGCCCCCACGCTTCATCGAGATCAGCTCTCTGCCCGGGTTCGGCAGTTTGTTGTTTTGAACAGCCAAGACCTGGCCTCCCTTGAAAAAGAAGCCTCAAAGACAAGTGGATTGAACACAGCCTTGGCCCAACCCTTGACACTGAGCCGTGGCATGGGGAGCAACTCGCTTTTTCGTTTGCCACAAACGCGAGCTCTTGTGGAAGCCGTCGGGAAAGCAGCGGCAATTAGTTGCAAGAAGCGGTCGCGGACGAATGGGGGAGCCTTTGGAGATTCCAAGTGGCATTCCACCAAAAGGGATCCCAAGGGTGGAATTCACTGAACTGAGGGCCAGAGCCTCTGGGTGCTCTCCTTTCGCAGGACCCAAAGGCCCAAGGCCCTGGGCTCCGTAGGGGGCCTGTTGGGTATGTCCGAAGCCCCTCTTTGCACCCCTTCACAGGAAAACCCAAAAACCACCAGAATCACAAGAGATCCCCTATTAGAGTGTAAAGACCAAAGGGAGACCTAGAATTTCCCCGACTGGAGCCAACCCCGTATTCAGCAACACCCAATTCTTCAACTGTCTCCTCCAATTTGCTTGGAAACCAAAGTTTGGCCCCCTGGAACGTCTTGCCAGGGTGCCCTCAAACATTCCACGAATGCGAGAGGTAAGCCAAAGCACAAGTGCTCTCATCTCCTTTTACACATCAGCCTGGCAAGAGAGACTCAGCCGAAAGGAAAGGACAAAAGCTCAGCCCCCCCAAACAAAAACAACCACAAAAATCACAAGAACAGCCACAACCCCTAGACAAAGAAACAAACACCACAAAAAGAAAACACTCATGCAAGGACCCTACCAGGCCCTGGCAGGAACTCCGAAGGCCGGGTCCCGAGCGCAGGAAGGCCAGCAGGGTCTCTGCAGAGGGCCTCTCCGCAGGGGCTTTGTCTGACCTGCGATCACAAAAGCGGCCATTGGGATGGCCATTTGGCTATGGGTCAAAACCAATGGGATCCCATTTTGGGGTCGGTCTTAGAACCTATTTTAGTGGGGATTGAATTGGATGTTCACTGGGGGTACGATTTAGATTTTGACCCATGGCCATTTGGATGGCTCCACATGCGGCAAATGTGTCTCGCATGGATATTAATAGCCCGCGTCAAGACACATCAAGCTCCGTTAGGTGATGAGAAGAGCAAAAGCGGTACCCCCCCCTTTTTTTTGGAGTTGGTACCCCCCTTTTTGGCGGATTGAAAAGGAAACCAAAGGGACAACCGCCATTTTCGGGGGTTACTAAAAAAGACACACCCATTTGGTAAACGATCTCCAAGAATTGGAACCACCACCAATGTTGGCATGGCAAACCTAAATCCCCGAAGTCTGATGCCCTATGAAAAGTCGCACCCATTTGAGGCATGGTCAATGTTTGTTGTGTCCTCCACTAAGATTGAATATTCGTAAACCCCATTTCCTGGTTTGTCCCTGGAGTTTTCTCGAACAATCAAACTAGAGGCCACAGGACGGATATTCAGCTAGCTCAGCTAACTGTTATGTGAGCTTCGGGGATTAAACGGGGCTAAGCCATCGGGTCGAAGGGGGCTGGCTCAGTCGAGTGGCCTGGCTCGAGCGTCTGGGGCAACCACAAACCTCCATGTGGGAAATAACCCTTACTTTGCCAAAGTGGGAATTCACATCCCCGTGGCTACGTTGTCCTTTCAACGGACATTGCCTTGGTGGATGGACAAACTCCGGCACCACTTTGAAACAATGGGAAATAATGGCTTGTTGGCATTTGCAGGAGACTCATCATTCCTCTTAGGTGTTGCAGGATGTCCTCCATCCACAGCATCGCAGAAAACTCTCCGGACACTCGGCACAAGCATGAACACCGGCCATGCAACAGACCACATGTCGCAACCAACCCGGCCAACAGTGGGCCTTGAAGGGCCACGAGAGCTGAGTCTAGATCTCTGAATGAAAATCCCAAGGATCGCGCGCACACGCAGAGGGAAACACGCGGAGACACCCTGTTGAAAACCCCAAAGCACACACACACACACTGAATGGTAGGGAGGGAAGCCTAGCAGTTGTCGGTGGTTTCCAATTTAGGACAAGGCCAGTTTTGCCATGGAATTCATTGGGTACAAGTTTGGGATCACACCGTCTCATGAGTTGACCCGACCGATCTCAATGTTTGAGAACGACTTGAAAGAACGCACGCCGGCATGACACCAAACCAGGGAACTCCACGATGAGTTTGTATTGTCCATGAAATGGTTCAAAGGGAAACCAAAGGAGAAAGGAGGTTCACCAATTTAGAGACAAGCTATGAGACTCAACAGTTCACACACTCAAAATGGTTGATAGCCGTAAGTCCCACCATACATGATGTCCAAAGAACGGTCCCAAAGCAAACATCACATCCACATCTGTCTCACGGTTTGACCCAACCGTGTTATGCTTTGAACACCATTGAATGGTTTAATGGCAATCCCACTATATAGACAGGGTCCCGTTTCATGTAGACCCCGGCACATGTTGACGAGGTCATCGTCCCGGAGAAAGCTTTGGATATGTCAATGTCTTACTCAAAACTAGCGGGAGGTTTTTAAAAGCAACCTTGAACTTCCATTGCTACATAAAAGTGTGTCACGAAAAACATCCACGGGCCAATTATGTTCGCCCACTGATTCAAACAGCGATCGTTCCCCCAAAAAAACTTGCTTCCCGAACACGTGTTTCTTGCAAAATACCAATAGTTACAATTTGCGCTCGTTTTGCAGGCATTTGCGCTGGTTGTGCGAGCATTTGCGCCCGTTTTGCGGGTATTTGTTTCCACGTGTTTCCACGCAACCGACTATATGAGAAGAGAGAAGGCGCCGGTTCCCCAAAACGAACGCGCGATTGGCAAATTTCTGCTACGAAACACCCAAGGGACACAAATTCATGTAACGAATGAAGGTCTAGGAAGATATTCCAAACAAAGTGTTTCTCTCTATGGGTGTAGAAGCCAATCAGCTAGCAAACCATCCAACTCTAGGGAGTTCCGTGGCCTGGCTGTCGCAAGATGCTGTGTTCCGTTCTGAATCAAGACATTATTCACCAGGAGAACTGTCAGATCAGCTGGCAATGTACATGACCAACCTATTAAAAGACACAACCATCAAAAAAAGGTTTGCCATTTAACGCCCGCTTGTTCAATTTTCTGAAATAGAACATGCCTGTTGCTCAAACGAGAGATTCAAGTTCATGAACAAAAACAGCACCTGGAAGGAATCTGCTCATCATCCGCCCACACTCCCTGCCTACCTTGTTCCCCCAAGAAAACCCCCGATGCAACAGACGGGCAGTAAGTATATATATATATATAATATATATATATATATATTGTGGGTTGGTTTGGACACGCATGGTCTTCCTGGTCGGTTTACGGACAAATACCAGGTCGGAGGTGCTGGAGACGCCTCTTGGCGTTCATGCCGGCCACCATGACCCGCTTCCGGCCGCGTCGGAAGTTCTTCGCACTCTTGGCGGTGTGCCTGAGACATGCTTCGAATGGCGAAGTTGGCCCGGAAAGTAACCCTTGCTCGCTTGGAGAAAGTTCGAGGTATGCGTTTCAACTGGGGACGTTTTGAAGGACATGATGTACCCGGGGATTGATGTCCACCAGCCAATTTCGGGCGTACCCTCCATAGATCCACGGCACAGGGGGAATCGCGCGAGCAGGGTCTTGCAGCAAGCCATGATGGGAAGTTGGTTTCCACATGCAACTGCCTCAGGGATTAACCGTGGACGCGTGGACGCGTTTGACGTGAAACTCAACCGGAAACCAATCATCTCGGCTGGCTCTGACAGAGTCCGTCCTGGCAGTTGCTCTCCTGAAATCTTATATGGAACTCAGAAATCTGCAGAAGGGCGATCCCTCAAAGGGATTCCGCTGCAAGTGAGTCTTGCGGCTCGCATTTTCACTTGCAGAAAGCTTCAGGGTCGAACCGACAGAAACTTCAAATAGACGGCAGACTACTCCAGCCAGCGATTTGCTGTGCCACGTCATAGTTCTGGCTTCGTTTGTAAGCTTTTCTTTGTCAAGCATCCCTGCGGGATGAACCTAGATGAGATTCCCACTGTAACTGCAGTATCCCAAACCAAGGTTAGTAACTACCCACTGGCTGTATGTACATGTGCCCTCTTGCCCTAAACAAAGCTTACCAATTGCAACATTCCTTTTCCACTTGGCAGAATACGATTCTATTGTTGACGACCCCCATATTGATATTGGACATAGTGAAGGAGCTGGTCTAGTTCAATATATAACAATAGTGACATCAGCTACTCAGTGATTCAAATTCAAGTTAGCACTATGGAACCTGGACAGACACACAGTGTAGAACCTATGTGGAAGAGTTAAGACACATCCGTTCGCTTGCCTAGTGGATTGCATGCGCCACTGGCCTGCGTGCCTGCAAGAAAGGGAATTAATGTCACTAGGTTCCATTGAGGCAGTTTGGCCTTCAAATGTGTCACGATCAAAAGCTGGCATTCAAGCTCAAAGACTCAAAATATAGGTACAACGTCCCGCGTGCATTCCTATTAGGAACATGACGTTGTTTCCGTTTGCGTCGTTTGTGCTGCTGCTGTCGCTGTTGCTGTTGCAATTGCCGCTCTTGCCACGGATTGAGCAAACCAGGAAAACCCATCTCTAAGACAAACGCTTCTGGTTGCCATGTCTTTTGTTGGAGTTGTACCACCTTTGGGTAGTGTTGACAAGCAACCAAGAGGAAACAAAACCAGCATTTTGGCGTGGGAGGTGGTACCACTTCTTTGTGGGTATGGGTCAAAATACAACCACCAGGGGACCCAGGTTTTAGTCCTTGTTTCCATTTACCACGGTACCTATTTTGACCCACAGCCTTGTGGTTTTGTAGGGGGGTCGAAAAAGACCCACCCATCGATTCCCGGCCTGGGTGTCATGGCGGGCAAGTCCCCACAGCTGCGCCCGGGCTGGCGCCGGCTGCCCACAGACCGGCGGCTGCCCAGCGAGCGCACCGACTTCATGGCCGGCATGTGGAAGCCACTGGAGCCCCCTGGAAACGATCACAGGGACCCCTAACCATTCAACTGATCCCCAGGTTCATTCCATTCCCTCATTCCCTACTGAGCACCAGCAAGTGTTGTCAAGTCAGGCGTGTTCTTGCTGCTCAGGGAATGAGAAATGGAATTTTCCCCCCATAAACTATCCAACTGATTTCATTTCAGGGAATCCCCAGGTTCATTCCATTTCTCATTCCTTACTGAGCACCAGCAAGTGTCTGGTACCTGTACCATTTTTGATAAACCCATTGCTTTGGCTCACTGGTTTTCTTAACTGTACCCTGTGGTTGAGCGATTCACTTGCTGGTTCGATAGCCAGAGAATGAGAACTTTAATGACCCCGAAAAAAGCCAGCCCCGATTGCGTGTCCTTTAAGGGCATCCCATTCCGGTTCATTCCCAATACCCGGAAGGAAATTCCCAACCGAGCACCAGCAAGTTCAAGTCAATAGGCCCAAATTTGTACCTGTACCTTTTGGTTGCGCTACCCCATTTCTGGAAGATAGCACAATTCCCTTTATCATCCTTCAAACAAATAGAACTGCGCACTCAAAAGCCTGCAACTGGAGGGGTCCCGGCCTTGTCCTTCAGCTATGATAGCTCCGAAATGTGCACGCAAACCCCGAAAGTACCGTTTGATGAGTCCAAGCTCTGAATTCCCGTGCCCATTTTGGGGAATAGTGACCTCAGCTTTGGGCAAGAAGACTTAAGGCACAAGGACGCATGGGTTGGTTGTGGGCTACGTTACGACCACAATTACTTTCTAATCATACGAGACAAATGCGTATCTTACCGCAGTCGCAATCTCCCGCACCCCATTTCTCGAGGGAAAGAATACTAGTTACTAGTTCCTAGCTCAAGTAGCAAAAACCTAACCAGCGCCCCTTGTTTGTTTTAAACAAATACATCCACTCATTATTCTCGAGGCGGCTTTGAAAGGAGAACCGTACCCACACCATCGCAGAATCCTTAAGGGACGCCCGGACCGAAGAGTGCTTTACCGTCGTTACAGCTGAACAATTGGATCGGACCGCGACATGGCAAAAGCCAATGGAGGACTATAGGTCCCCCTGCAATAGCCGGCTTTGAATGGACCTCTAACGAAAAGCTCGGGTTTTGAGTAAGTAACGCAGTATTTTCGTCGCCCCCCGCAAAAACGCAAGGACCGCCCGCCATCCGATCCCCGATCTGATCCAATCGCCTTCCGAGTGCTTGCTGGGGCTCACAGGGCTCCGCAGAGCCGAGCAGGGCGAGATGTCCTCGCACAACTTGTGCTGGCATGTGTCCAACAGGTCGTTTACAAGACAGAACACCCTCACCTACGTTGCAGGAACCTCTTCACCATCCATGCTAGAAAAAGAAACACATGCAATTCAGAAAAACAATCACAAACTGCAAACAAGGCAGCGCGCAAGTTTGGGGAACGTTCCAGCCCACGGTTTCTTCAAACCATTGCCGAACATGCTCATACATACTCACCCCGATTGCTGAACTAAAGCAACCTGCGTGACGATTTATCGTGTTCAATGAACATGATTCAATGTGGTAAGGTGACAATGAACCTAGCATATTTCTACACCACTTGCGTAACAATGCTATGTTCAATCATTGGAGCTTTATTGACGCTTTGACTCAGGGAACAACAATGGCAACTTAAAGCTTCGGACACATTCAAGTAAAGTTGCGCGGCATGTTGATGCTGCAACCGCCATGCAGCTGAGTCATGTAGGTTCACTACACAAAGTGTGTGCGAGTTTGTGTGGGTTGTTTCAAAATGCAGAGTGGGTTCTGCTCTGTGCGTCTTGCAGAAACCAACAAAGGGTTGGTGCCAGTTGGTGCTTCAAAAGGGTTCCAGCCCAGTTGCTAGGCACCAACATTCCCCGGAAAAACGCACGGCGTACATTCAAAAGCAGCCCTTCGTGCTTATTCGCGTAGTGGATTGCCCCGAGTTTGCTACACTTGCGTCTCAAGTCCAGAAAGTGGGGGGAGTTGGTCCTCTTTAGCCCTATTCACGTGTTACAATGGTTAAACACATATGAAAATATGTGTTCAAACCATATCCCGTGTTAAACCACTTTATGAGGGCCCGGGTTATACACTTCCGAGGCTTTCCGGAAGGCGCCGAAAGCCATCATTGATCATCCGTTGGTTTCCCTAAGCAACAGCCCTAACCCCAAAAGCATCCGGCACCCGCAAAGAAGACATGCCCTCTATTCAACATGGAAGCTGGCAAAAGGGTTTCAAGCTCCGGAAGGTTACAGCCCTTTCGAACAGGCTTTTGAAACACTTCCATTAAAAAAAGTGAACCCGGTCCCTTTGCAGATCAATACAAACGGGGCTAAAATCCATTCGTTCCCTGCGTTCCCGGGGTTCTCCACAGCTCCCCGCTGCTCCCTGTTTGCTGTCAAAGATGCTGGGGAGTTCATCCCACTCGCCGGACGGCCGGGCAGTCGCACCTGGTGGCTTTCAAGATACGGGTTCAAAGTGAGGGATCCTGAAATTCCTCACCCGGGACCAGGAAAACACCATCTGGCACAAGGATTATGAATTGATTTGATCAGGCAAATGGGTCGCAATCATGGTCACCGTCCATTTGCTTATCATCGCTCATGTGCTGCAGGTGCTACAAAGACAAGGCATACCAAGCATGGCCGCGGCCTGTTGCAGGCAGACAGGACAAACATCACCTTGGGCAAACGGACTAGTCAAGTCAACCCTGTTGACCGATCATAAGTCACAAGGCTTCAGCATGAAAGTCGGCATGTTTGAGCCTGTTGCAGGTTTCTCAAAGAGCCATCACACTTTAGCATGTTGGAGGGGCACAGGCTCAATCATCAAGACTCAGGTTACCCAATCTATTCACACAGTCGGAGGCTAGCCAAATTCTGTCCAGCCCCGCTGTTGGTTGCCACAAGCTTTCTACATTATGCCAGGTTGGCCGGCTGCTAACACGGGGCCGGACGAATCCAACACATGCCCCTTACATGTGCAATTGGACATTCAGACAATGACCTATTTGGCACCAAGTTGGACACTGTAGACCTTCATACTTGTCTTCAAATGGTCCACTGCAGGTCCAAAAGTGTCCAACTGCCGAACATGAAGCTAACTAATATACGTGGATACTGATACACGTATTCCCTCCTGGTCATAACATATGTTCGGCTTTAAAGCACCCACAAACACGCTCTAGTTGTCTTCAGGAGCTATTAAAGTTTCCCCAGATCCTTTCCCGGAGCTTGGAGGGGTGGGGTTTTTTGGCTTCCTCAAGGACGTGTCGCGAGGTTTTGGGCCTCAGGGGCCCAAATGACTGAATGATAACTACTTTGAAACAGGATCAACACAAGATTGGAAGACGAGGTCTATAAAATACACGGCGTATGTGTTGCATCTTTTGTAGGAACACTTACATTCTGGGTGAATTGTAGTAGTTCGCCAACCCCAGAAATAGGGTGCCCTTGTGCAAGAAACAGACCTCAGGAAAAAATATTCCTGTTGACCCCATATTCATCAACCCCAGCTTGTTAATAGGGAATCATCACTTTTGGAGGGGAACACCCCCATATTTTCAAACAGGGGTTGATGAATCTGGGGTCAACACCATGTGCCTGCAGCCCCTTATCAGCCCACAGGCGGCCTCCTTGTCATCCTCCGCCTCAGAGTCCTCTTCTCCTGCGTTGTTTTTGTTTTTCACGGAACTGTCCATGTTGTCCAGTGAAACAGGGCCGCCAATGCGGCGTCTTTGCCGCAAATGTGTCATGTGACACTTCCAAATTGAGATCCTCCAGCCAAAGGGCCCGTAATAGGCCAAATAATATTTCGAAGAATTAGGGTCCCGCGGAACGAGCAACGTGTCGCGTACAAACGAAACTGGGACATCCTTCTATGATCAACTAAACTGAACAACAAATACCAGACCTCCATTGGCCGTAAGAAACACACACGCTTTCTGCGCATATACCCTTCAAATTCTTAAGCGCTCTTGTTTAAGAAACGTGGGGCTCAACAGCTCCTTGATTCTTCAACCTGGAAACATTACCCGAAAAAAGAAGCTGATGACGAATTCACCCTAAGGGGTGATGTTTCAAATTAAGACAGCCCCTTGCTCAGGAATCCCCATTGTCATCCTGCAGGTGGTTTGCTTCCGCAACCCTTGCAACATGTCGCCTTTCCTCCTGGCGTTCCTTTGAAACCACATCAAAAGGAGCCCCGGCAGCTTCTAGGCTGCACACTTGTCATCCTTTCCGCTGCACATGCACCCCAGAGAAACTCCAAGGCGAATCCATGGCAAAGCTGCAAAAGCTTAGGTGCCTTTTGTGCACTAAGCAAAGGATAGTGGAATCCTTAGTGGAACCCATATCTATTGACTAGAACAAGTGGCTGAACTGTTCGAGCCTTGACTAACTTCGCCGACTCCACTGGTACGTTCCCCAAAGGACCCAGAAATACAAGGTTAACCTTGCGAGTTGCCATGCCTCAAAATCGAAGGGGAAACTACAGGGTCAAAAGGTCGGCTCTGGGCAAGTGAGGGCAAGAGAAAGGACAATGTGCGCGAGGCTCACGTTTTTGTCCCGCCTATGGTGATGCTAGCGCAGAGCGCCACCTTGATGGTCATCGCTCGGCCCATCTGCTGAAGCCTGGAAGAAGAGAGGCGTCTGCTCCAAGCGACTGCTCTGTGTCAGAAATTGCACAATTCCACCAAAAAATCATGTATATATCTTGGGCCCCGAATAGTGCGGAAAGTAGAAGTTCGCTCTGCCAAAAGGGGGAGAGGATAGAAAGGAGACCAGGCCGCGTGCTTTGAGTAGATTCACCCACGGTGCCACGGGGGTCGCCGCGCGCCCTCTGACCGCCAACCAAAATTCATAGCCACACGTTGGAGGGATTTCCGCGCCACTCAGCGTTTGTGAAGCCTCTAGGTCAGATTTCACACATGGCGTCCACATGCCAACAACAACTCAACCAACATCAAGCATCACACTCTTTGCAGCATGCTTTGCCTAGTTACAGCTACCCTGTTCGGTCAAACATCAAATGCGTTTGCCTCAAACAGTCCTGCGTATTTGTCCATTGTGAGCGATGCTCACTATCAAACGAGGCGGAGCAAACTCTGACCTGAGCGAAGAAGACAAAGCAAGGGGAACAAGCCTGGCCTTTTGCTGACTGGGAGGTCTCATGCATGCTCCATGGTAGGTACTGCTTTACAGGCGTCATAGGCAGTATACCCCAAGTGCTACACACGACGTAATTGAGCTCTCTGCCTCCGAGAAACAAAAGAACACATTACACCGGCATAGACCCCAGACAGTGAAGAACAGCCAGATGGTTGCACACCAGCAAGCAGCACCCCTCAAAGAGCACACGGCTTTCAATCTCGCAAAAAAAGGCGCCCGCCCCAGCGTCCCCAAACAGCGCAAACAACACCCCCAAAAGCACCAGCACCCAAACTGCATCCGCTGGCACCCGCCATCAATCTTGCAAAGATGCACCTGCACCGTCACGAATAGCTCCCCACCAACTGCACGCCCCCTAGCACCGAGCCATCAATCTCGCAAATGACTTTATCCTCTTTATTAGAAGTTAGAACCCCTATAGCTTTCAGCTATCTGGCAGATTTAACATTTGTCGAAATGATTCGAAATGCCTTCTCTCAAACAATGGCCCTTGTTGCATATCTACAACTTAGCCAGGGGCCCATGACCAAAATATGCCAGCATAGACCCCAGATAGCAAAAACCAGGCCAATGATTGCACACCAGCACCTGAAACAGCACCCCCCGAAGAGCAGCACCTGTCAGAGAACCCGTCCAGCAATCTCGCAAAAATGCGCCCGCACCATCACCAGCACCCGAAACAGCACCCCCCCCCCCTACACCAGCACCCCAGACCGCATGTCCCCCAGCACCCAGCCGTCAATCTCGCCAATCACTTTCCCCTCTTTACTAGAATGTAGAACCCCTATAGCTTTCAGGTATTTGGGGAATAACCAGCCAAACTGCGGGGGCCAAACCACCCTTTTCCCGCAACTTGTCTAAGTTGGAAGACTCTGGATCTGAATGCAACGCTTGAGGCGCAACCATTGGAGGGAAACACAGTGCTTGCGCTGGTTTACAACATGGTCTTCCCCAACAGTACAAAGTTCAGAACCTCGGGAAGTGCGCGAAGGGTCAATTCATCTTGCTCCCGAGCGGAGAAGCTCTTCTTTGCCATGTCTTAGTACTCTCAGCCCGGCGGCCATAGGCAAAAAGGCCCTGAGGGGTTGGTTGACATCAATTGAAGCCCTTCCCCGAAAAACTCAAACATCTCGTCACTGGCCTGGGGCGAGTGGAAAGGGCATAAGTTAAAAGTTGCTCCCAAGGAAAACAAGAAATCAGTATGGGCCCTCCAATTCTGTTCGACAGCAGGCGAGTATTCTGCGAATAAGTCGTCCAAAGCAAACACAAATGAGTATGGGTTGCTGCAAAGACCCTTGCGGAAGCACCCCCGTGGGTTGATGAGTGGTGAAACTGCTCCACTATTCAAACAGGCCAAAATCAAAATGTGCCTTATGTAAAGTATAGCTCTATATATATATATATGTGGCTGTGGCTCAAAAAACCGGTACCAAAATTGGAAGCCTGGTAAGTGGAAACATGGACCAAAACCCACGTAACCCCCCCTGTTCAATTTTGAGCCACGGCCAAAAAAATATATCATTTGTATATATCGAAGAATAGCCACCCAGCACGTGAAAGACACCCAGATCGGAACCCCTTGATCCAGGCTGGCAGCTCAGGGTCCGTGTTGCAGTGGGAGATGGTCGAGAAGCGGCTTGCGGTGCCCATGTCCTGCGCGAGAAGTCGGCCGAGAAGTCGGCACACCCGCGACTCGACCTCTCAAAAAACCATGAGAAGCACACCCGCAAAAAAAAACAACAACACCATCACAGTGTCCCGTGGGACGAATCCATTGGTTCTCGCGAGAACCAAAGAGGTAAAGGAGAAAAGCTGGCAGGGCAAGTAAACGCCAACCGAGCGGAAGCCATCAGTTCTCGCACAATGTATGGTTGCATATATATGTATATGGTTACAGATATAATATATATATATATACATATGAGTGAACCGACTGAAGTTCAGCACTCCCTCAAGGAATCCTCACCCTGCCAGGATGGGCTGGATTGACGCCACATCGCGGATCACGATCAAGGTTTATAGTTGTTCTACCCAGCCGCCTGTTGGGGATGGGTGTTCTGTAAGGGTGCTCCCTTCAAAACGGTCTCCAGCTTTAATGGTGGGTTGAAATGTCTTTTTGGAAGTCCTGTTGCAGTCCACGGAAAAGACTTGAGGGACCCCGGTTTGATCCTAGGTCCCTGTCTCTGAATCGACAGCAGCACGAGTCGAAGCGACTTTCAGAACTTTCAGAGATTCAAGTACCTACACCACTCAACACCTGAAGCTCAGAGGGTGTTCACTACTCCCAAATCACTACCAAGGAACGATGGAGATTTCTTTAGATAGTGCCTATATATAGTGGTTGTAGGAGCCATATTTCTGTGGGCAGCGGTTTGCGGGTAGTGGACACCCTCAAGTGGGGCAGGTAGGGTTACAGCCCACATAGGAAAACCCATGATGTCCACCCCGAATGATGTACCTGGCGGCTTAGCTGGACAAGGATTCCATATGCGGGCTTCCTCGTCGTCTGCCACGAGAAGAAGATCATGCATCACACACACACAAGCTGAGCGGACTTCCATTGAAGTCTCTAAGACACTTTCATGTGACGAAGCACCCATGAGTCAGAATTCAGGAATGGCCTGATCTTTTTGGCCCAAATCCAAATCGAGAATATTAGAGTCTGGCAACATCAAAACAGGATGCAGGACTTCCTTTTTACCAAATCTGAAAATGAGGTCTGACTGCGGAACATGGGCTCGTTTTGGAAGGGTGGCTTGCTTGGCCGTGGCTGCATCTTGAGATTGAGACTGATGAGCACACCTGAGTGAGTCACAAGAAAGTGGGGCTCGAATAAGTGAAGGAGCCATACTTAAATCGATCCGGAGATATCCTGTGTGCCAAATTCGGGCAACTCATGGAATTCAGGTTTTGTTTTGAGACCACACAAACAAAGTATCACACCATCACAGGATGCGTGTTGATTCCCAAATGCGCAGTATTCAGGAAAGGTGAAGGGGTGATTCAGAACATATGGAAGACATATATAGCATAACATATAATTCCAAGTCCCCTTCGTATAATCGAACAAAGACGGACCGCTGGTCTTCCACTTCCAAGCGATGTTGTAACCTACTAGCAAGTACCTACACCAAACACACTAGGTAATGCAATCGCTTCCCCCTATTGCTACAATCCCTCCCTCCCGCCCTCCCAATGGTGTCCTAGGGGGTCCTAAGGAATTCCACTACGGTCGTCCACATGGCCCTTTGCCGGGCACGTCAAAATCGTGCTTGCCGAGGAAGGAATCTTGTCAATTCAGAAAATCAAAATTAGAGTTGACAAGGTGAGCTTACAATTCAAAGAAGGGACATGCTGAAAGTTGCCCCTAAGAACGGCTGTGCATGTCAGTCAGGAGTTTAGTATTGGTTTAGTAGTGGGTGAATTAAAAGCAAAAGGAGAGAGGTCTGTTTGGATTGTGTGCTGACAAAAAATAATGCTGGTTTTAAGGATCCAGTAGTATTTAATTTATCAGTAGTCATTGGTACATGGTGATGGCCAACCATCTGCTACCCACGTTGCATGTTATTTGCAGCCAACAGGAGCATTCTTTGGGGTGTCAAACAATTGGGTACCACATATCTGTAAACTATGGCGAACCAACATTGTTCACCAAACACAAATTAAATGAACATTCTCTACGGGAGGGACCCTCTTCACCATGCATGATTTGGAGGGTACCCTCTTTGGGGTTTAAAGCGTTTAACGCGGATTTAACAGGAAACAACCCACTCTTAGGGGTCCAGCACTTCCAGACACGCAAGTATTGGTCGAGTTTTCAAGTTGAACGGCGCGGAGTTACTCCCCTCACGCCTCTGAACAGCTCGTCACACGCATCCGCTCCTCACCCGCGGGCAGGAAACGCGTAGCAAACAATATGGGCGTGTGTGTGCTTTGAGGGGATCCTTTTCAGGTTGTGTTCAACGAACACCAAAAGGGCAATATTGTTTTGGGTACCCGTATTTCGAGAGTGTTGGTAGGTTCCGCTTTTGATCTCAACACAAAGAGTGCTTTAGTTCTGCAAATCGCGCGCAAGCATAAGAGTCCAGCTTCGCTTTTGATGGTTCTCCAGTGTGGAGAATGTCTAACCCGTTCGTCGAACATATCCATCGCATGAGGCTGTCTTTAGCGATTTGGTCGCTATGGGTTTTGAGGCACCCAAAGCTGGCCTGGACGTCCACAACCACCAATACAACCTACAATTTCTGAGCAGTTGCAACTGGAAGGATTTAGCCAGTGATTCTCGGGAGCGCAGAAGCGTTGAAACCCGCTGTAAGGAAGGTGTCTTCATTCCCTCCCAGCTCACAAACGGCGAGCGAAAAAAAACTTGCAACATGCTCCCTGACTTGCTCTTGATATCTGTTGATTGTGAGTCTCGAGAAGTAACCCATGGGTACAATGCAGTCGCAAACTCTGCCAGTGCCCAAACCGCAGGGCTCACGCGTAGAAAGCTGGCTCAAGCTGCAATGTTCAGGCAGGAAAAGGAAGATCTGACCCAAATAAGGACACATCGCTGAAGGTCTGGAGGGTGTTGGGTTCATGTAAGCCAACCATTTTCCAGAGGCTTGTGGCTGGCTTGTGGCTTGTTCCCCTAATATTAACAGACCCCTGTTAATCTCAAAAGGAAGCTCAAGCAATACGAAATCAAATGCAAACGTGGACCGAAGTAGTATTGCCAAATACGGAAAGTAGTATTGCCCAATACTAAGGTAGCTTTCAAATTCTATTTAGAGGGCCCATTCTTTTGGTGGCCAGAATCTGATCTTCTAGACCTTCAGAGGAGGGATCATTCAACCTGGGTTAACCTTAGCGGAAACAATGCCGCATCGAAGAGAACAAAATAATACTCTCTTTCTTGTGGGGGTTGCGAACTGTGGATTGGTAGTAAGCATCTGAAAAAATCGATTCGCTCCTCTCGAGCCTCAGAATGGACAGAAGGCTGCAGCGTCGTCTGCTCCTCAGCAAGATGGTGAAGGCTAGTGACACTGCGATGGCTTGCTGGTTTGTCCCTACCGTGACACCCAGACTGCAAAACACAGCCCCATCGCAACCCTGGTATGTATGTTTGTGTGTGTGTCCGTGTTTGTGTGTGCGCTAAGGGATGTGACTCCCTCATTTGGCTAGCTCCCGCGTAATATGTATATACATATATATATATATAATTATATACAGATATATATGTATATATATATATATATTCTACACACACACACCTAGAAAGGGACCAAGTTTTGGAGGTCTCCCGTTTTCTGTCACACCTAAATTTGCCGCACAACTGCTGGTTTGCGTGGGGCTTCCCTTCAAGGCAACTACTAAGTATAAATTTTAGAAAGCGTGCCAAATTTTAATTTTGCGTATATGCCCAAATAGGGGGACTCCAATTCTGGTGGTTGTCCTGTTTGGCTGGCTCTAAACCACCTTGAAAAAAACGGTGCCCTGAAAAGTATAATATATATATATATATCAAAAGGTGTCTGTGCGTTGTTTGGGGTACCCATTGCGCCTTTGATTTAGAGGAAACCCAAACTGGTCGCCCTCAGATCCCTGCTAAAAGCTTAACTTTTAAATCCCACTAAACCCTAAAAAGCTATAAAGCTAAGGGGATTGCTGGGAGCTACCAAGCAAAAGGATAATTCCCGTGCAACCATTTCTGCCTAGGGGTTGCACCTCACGCCCGGGGCCCCTGGCCCCGAGCACGGGCGGGACCTCCTCATCCAGGTCGGCGAAGACGATGCTACTTCCTGGGCTTCGGCTTGGTGAATCACTCACGCTGTGGGTACCCAAAATGGATCTCTGGCAAATGGAAAACGTGGACTAAAACCTGTCCCCTGTTGGTTTAATTTTGACCCATACCCACTTGAGTCATAATCAAAGCCTGGTATTAATTACAATGGACTACCCAAAACTATGTAAAGAATCAAAACGGCGGCTGAACCCAGTATGGTTCGGACCATCCCTTGCTAACCTTCATCTACGCGGGTTTTGATTGTGGCTCACTTGTCCAAAGGGCCTGGATGTATGAAATAGAACTTAGCAACAAACATCAACACCTCTCCGGTGGAACAAGGTAAACACTTGCCGTTGTCGCATTGGCATGATGGAATTCTAGCCCACATCTGCCTGTGCGTGTGTTTTCAAGGATATCTTCCTTGGGTGAGTTTGAAGGGCGCGCACCGGTCAATTGACACATACCCATTGCTCACTTAATTTGGTGAACACGTAACAATACCAGCATCCAAAGACTATGCGCCCAGTCGCTAGCTGGTTCCAAACTTTGCCAACAGGCCCACACCCTATTTCCTAAGCATCGCGTTCCGGTTTCAAGAAAGTGACACCCTCAAAATTACCTTCTGAATGGGCACTGTTAAGGAAAACCCCTAATTTGTTGGTGTGTGTGTGTGAACCATTAGAAGGTTCGACCCAATACTAAACTTTGCGCACTCTTATAATATTCACTTTGAGGGACCCACTTACGTCGCTTCGAGGCCCATTTTCACCCTGAAGACCCAGCTGAGGCGAGATTCCGCCGGGCGAGTTGTCCTCCCTCGCCACGTGGCGGGGACTCGACATGGCTCGGATCCGCCCGCGACCCGCGCAGCGCGCGTGCGCGACCCGTGGCGCTATATGCCCCTACTGCGTGGTACGGGTCGACCCTGGGGGTGTGCCTGCTTCAACTGAAATGGTGTGTTTGTCAGGGTGGGGGGGGGGTGTTCCCCCCATGCAGAGAGGCGGAGGCCAGGCTTGCTAGGGTGAGGGGTCAGGGGTGAGGGCCTCAAGCCGGGCAAGTGCTAACTGTTGATTTGGATATCAGGTGGCACCAAAGAAATGTAGAAGGACGGTCAAAACTAGAAAGAAAAAAACACACTGCCCTCGGGCTCCTAACACATCAGGCAAGCCAATAGGAAGCACATCTGACAAGAGGGCAGCTTGCTTGTGCCTTTTGGCTTCTCAAGCACAAACAAACAAACAAACACATACACAAACAAACCAAGAAACAAACACGGCGCTAAACACGCCAAACACATCGTCTGACCTTCTCTGATCTCCGCGGGCCCCGCCTCCCAAAACGTAGATGCAGTGAAAGCCAGTCTATGGCTGCAGACACATTCAGATTTGGGCGGATTCGCGGATGGCCTGGCTATACAGTTTGCTTGTTTTGTTCTTTGCTTGTTCGTTTGTGGGTTAAAGTCTGAACCGGCCAGTGTCCTTGACCACCTGACGCAGAGTTGCCCATCGATATCGATGCTGAAGGTTTCTACCAAGTTAACACCTTAACCCCTCATACGGAAACAGGTCAAAGGAGTATCCCCAACAGCGCCTCTGGGTGTCTAATAGAGGGTCTGGAAAACAAAATACAAATTTACTTGTGCCCAAAATTGAAAACTATGGTTGCTCTTTCGCACCCAGGTCATTTCCACCGAACTTGCAACCTGCACCCAGATGGAACTGCCGCCGCCGAAAATCCGGGATTGGCGAATTGACCCCATTCGCTGGCGGAGAAAACACGTGTCTTTTGCGAGAGTACCTTTGTTGGATTGAATTTGAAGGAAAACCAATAATTGGTGGTTTGAAACCCAAAAGAAACACATTGTTTTTTTGTGCAGGGTCCAGCCACATGCAGACATGATTGAAATACATTGAACGGCGATTATCAACCTCCCTTTGCTTGCTTAAGCTTTGTGGAAAAAACACATTTTCCCAGTAAATGATAGATTCTCTTCAAAACCAACAGGGGAAAATATCAAATGTTCATTTCAGCAACTCAGGTGTTCAGTGGCCATGAAAAAAAAGGGCGCTGTTTTTTGGTTTGTCGACTTTAAAGGGAGCCCTTGCCCAAAAAAGGGGAAAAAGGGCACCGCTGGGCAACTGGAAGCATAGGTGTCCTTCTTGGGAAAAATTGATGGCCCTGGTAGTTGATTGCACCACCAGGCAAACCAGATCAAACCAGGAATCGCCCTCGGATCTTTCGACCAAATCAAAAAAAAGACCCCTATGGGGCAACTGTGAAAGGACACAGTTGAAGGGAAACCAAAAAAGGGCACCCTAAGGAAACCATTTTCGATTGAACCGACTATAGGGGAAAATGGAGGTTTGGTTTCCTTAGCAAGGCCGGTCCGCTGGTTTAATCCTCCAACCTGCTGGGCCCGCTGGGCCCGCTGGGCTCCCAAGGCCACAGAGCCCAACTCGAAGATGCAGTCGTCCCCGATGCGGATGGAGCCTAAAGCCGCAAAACCGATGGGCCTGGAGCGGTAGATGTTCAAGTTGCTATATGCAGTGTGTATAAATAAATAAATAAATGAATAAACAAAAATATATACATATATGAGGGGTTGTACAAAATTACTTTGCCTGGAGACCCCCCAATCGCCGGCCAATCGCGATCCAATCGCGGTCCCACAGATTCCATTCGCGGAGCAACGTTGGACATCGCTGCTGCTTCTGTTCGCTTTTCGCTGTCTTATCTCAAGCGCTGGCCTTCCTCCATCCATACCTGGAAACTGGAAGGAAGCGACGTAGCTCGGACGGGCAGGGCCTGACTGGTGAAATTCGTCCAATCGCCGTCCAACCGCGGTCCAATCGCGGAAGTCGGCGGCGAAACTGTGGTTGGCAGCTTCCAGCCTTTGCCAGTAAGCAGATTTAGACAGCGCAGCCTGGGCCTGCGCAGGCGAAATCAACATAATTACAGCTTTCCAGGAGGAACTTTTGCACGAGCCCGTGCAGTCAAAATGAGCGAGACGTGCATCGGCAGCACAATCTAAACAACATGCAGCGTCTAAATTCACAATAAACGCGTTGCCCTTTCGCGGTCCAATCGCCGGCCTTTTGCGGCTCGAGTTTTCCCAATCGCCCGTTCAACAAGTTGCCGCTGTTCTTAAGTTTTAGACATGCAATTACGGACGGCCGCCATATATTATATATATATGCATACATTATCCTTTGCTCCTACCATGGCATCTGTGACATACCTGGAGGTTCGATCAGCTGTGTTAGGGAGGGCAGATTATAGCTGGGCTGGGAAATCATGAGGTCAAAGAGGAAAAGGGGAACGTGCTTGACCACAGGTAATACGTAGGTTATACTCTTGGTTTGTTCACTTCCTGCGTGCATTGGTCAGAATTGTCAGAACCGGTGCAGACTTTGTGCTTAGCCCAAACTTATCGTCCCAGCAATATATATATATATAAATGAGAACTATGCGGGACGAAAGCTGCTGCGCGGCTAATACCTTAGGTATTCTTGCACTACACGTGACATTTTTGGCTTGGGGAGTCCTGGGAAAGAAGGCCCAAGTCAACGTGGCTGATTCCCATCGCAAAGTCAGGAAAAGACCTTCGATATCTCTTGAATGCGCGCTCTATGCCTTGTACAAATTCCGGGCTGATCTTCCCACCTAAGCAAAAGGTCCAACCTGCTGTAGGTTTGATGCAAGAAATACTTGGTCCCAAAAGGTCTAAGAGGCTAGCTAGGCAATTTTCCAGACCGACCAGATCAGGGCGGGGAGGTCAGCCTTGCAATACGTCCTGAGAACCCCCTGTCCCTGATATCGCCCACCGAAGCAGCGATAGGGAAGCTCTGAGTTGGCCCCTCTCCGTGTCTGAAAAATACAGAAATCTCCCAAAAGCTTGCAAAACCATCTACACGGGATCATTGGTTTTGTGCTCAAAGGAGATTCTAAGAACATGTTTAGTTCTAGTTCCCCCCCAACTGGAACGAGAGTCCAAATGCCACGGGTATGCACCTTTTCTTGGAAGATCCTTTTGGCTGGTCAGGAAGAATCTACCTATTTCACCGGACTCGCTCAGCGTTGCGCACACGGGGAAAATGGCCTTGTCGGTGGCTTGATTTTAACGAGATACCCGACCGACAACACAGGACAAACAGGCGGTTGATTCCAAATTAATAGCACACACGCCGGAAATTGGAAAGGGGGGACACTGTGGGCTCCCTGAGACTGAAGCAACTTGTTTGACTGGCTATTCTCCTTTGTAACAGCAAAAACACCATATATACAACCTAGACTTCCTAATGGTTCATTTGGACAGTATCGCCCGTGCGGAAAAGAAGGGCGGCCTAGATGCCTGCAGCATCCAAAGGCTTAAATGCAACACCTTCGGCCTTGCCAAGTGCCGACACCATCCATCAAAAAATCCGAAAGCTGGAAACGAATTGCGGAACCAACGGCGCCTCGGAACCAACGGCCAAATGCCACATCGACCGCTTCACCAGACCCTGTGAAGCAAAGCAAAGGCCCTCCTCTGGCGCCGTGCCGCTTTCTCCAGGAATGCCACGAAATAAGCAAAGACGTTCGAGCCAGCTCAAAGAGTCTAATCGAACCTGTTTCTCAGGAAGGAGAAAACGGAGCTGAACCGGGAAATTGGTGGTTCGGGCTTGTCGTGGCGGGCTGGTTCAAACATAATTTGAGAAGGGCTCAAGCCGGTTTGAGCTGCCTCTGCTGGAATCTCCTTGCCCTGCGGTTCCCAAACAGAAAGGAGACTTTGCGAAAGCCCAGGCAACTGGGAAGCTGAAGGACCAACACAGTGTCCAACAAAGCCCCAAACACGGGGTCGGTCCCTTTCTGGTTTTGCTCTACCTTCTGGAAAGGGGAGTGCATCTCCATTTGCAGAAAGCATGTCCATGTTGTGTGCATGTGTCCGTGTCTTGCGCACACCGTGCCAAAAGCGAGCCACTGTCAAAATGACTTGCCAAAACGGACATGGAAGCTCTTGTGCATCCCCAGCTTTTTGATGTCCCTAACAATGAACCAAAGACTGGGCAGTTTGACCAAACCTCACGTGGCCACAGACCCCAGCCTTCAATTGGCCCCAGTATTTTGCCATTGTCAAAGTCGTCCAAGTGGTAGGTTGACGGGCAACAACCCCAGTTTCTGACTTTGATAACCCCTAGAAGCACTCAACATGATTACCTCAGTTCCAAAGCCTTTCCCGATTGAGACGAGCGGCCATTGCGTGTGGCGCCCTGGTGGCTGCTGTGTCCGCCTCGCACTCGGACGATTCACTCTTTTTGACGGTGCCCGAAGGGAAAAATCAAATGAAATAAATGAAACCAGTTTGGAGGTCCTCCGCCCCCGCGCCCATGTCATAGAATCTGCCTTGGGTAGCCGCATGTGGGCCTTGTGACAACCACTGCATAGCTGCGACCAAACCTGGGGATGCCAAAAGCCCCCCGCAAAATCATGATTGAAGAAGCGGAGCCATCACCATGGACACACACACACACTCGCACAGCAAAATAACGAAAGAGCACACAACAATGTTCAAAGGCATCCATCCGGCCATCCGTGCCATGCTTTCCGCAATCGTGGGCCAAAGTTCAAATGGGTGAGTAAAAAATCAAGCATTAAACATGCAACAGTCTTCCGCTGAAATAGGTTCCGCCGCCAACACATTCACTCCAGCTGCAACTAAAGCATGGTCTCATTCTAACACGGCACTATGGAAATCAAACAAGAGTCAAGGATTCTGTCGCAAAAAAGATGGAACGCCCAAATGGTTGAGGTCATGGACGGCTTTTCAATTGGAACAATACTGTCGAAACCAACGTTGCAGCGGGAACAAATCATCTGAAGCTGGTCTTGACATATTTCCGCTTGGCCACTGCACCCCAAATCCAGAAATTCAACTACCGCCAAGCTGTGAACATCAGCCGCCCCTCTTTCAAAGCTCGTTAACACAATGCTTCTTAAAGAAGGCTCCAAACAGACGCGCACACACGTTCCATATGTCACACGGTCAGGCCCCGGCCATAGGTGTCCTTGTAGGGGAAATAGATGGCCCTGGCAGATGATTAAACCACCAGGTATATCAGAAATCGCCCCTCTCTCTCTCTATTGTTCGACCAAAAACAACCAAAAAGGACACCTATGGCCCCAGCTTCCCCGCGTCCCGTTGCTTCGTGCCCGCTTCTGAGCCCCGCCTATCACGGCAGCCTCTTCGAAGCGGCACCGGGCGCCTGCGGTGAGAGGCCCCCGCACCAGCGCGCGGCAGCAGACCTGGCTTCAGCGGCGGACGGAGGGGTCCTTTGGTCGCGAGGGGCATATAATATGGGTGTCTTGTTTTGTTTTGTTTTGTCTTTTATACCCAGTATCTGTTTTGGGAAGTGGTTCAAGGAAAATCGATGGGGAACCAGCCCTATTTTGAGACTGCCTTACATACGTATACCGCATGGCTTAATCATTTAAAAGGGGTAAGCAGTCCTAACCAGGCTGTACGAGGGTGACGACTAACCGCCTGTTAGGGTCCGCGTCAGGTTGATCACAAAGAGTTATTAACCTACTAACCCCTCGTTTACAACCGAATACCTTTGTGGAAGGTCTAGATATCGGTTATGCAAGTCATATAACTACCCTCACCAAATTGATTTGGTGCAGGTTCGCCTCCTTTCAGAAGGCAGACAGGTGTTGTTTTGGGCAGGACAAGTTGCCTGTGACCATGAGGGCATGCTGACTCAGAACCGTTATTACCTACTTTGGCGAGAAGTTATGGAAAGCGGGACCGTTTGTTGGCTCATTACATATCATGACGCTCTGCGCATCACACAATGACCTAGATAGCAAAGCATGTAGAATGCCCGAAACCTCCGTGAAGATAAGAACAAGAGCCTGCATTGCAAACCATCTCTGCTAAAATCACGTACATGTGTGGTGTAAATATCACTTCGAAACCACAACTATGGTGCTTTTCGGGGGCAGTAAAGGTTGATCGACCGCCGTTTGGAAAGGGTAACCCAAGCCAGGCTATTTCATTCTATAACACCTGATAATGATAATGACTGCACATTCTGCACGTTTTCCTAACTGTACTTTACCAACCTGAATTACAGGATAAAATACGGAGCATTCATCGTGGGCCTTTGTTGGATCTACCCTGAAGCAAGCTCGTCATGAGTGGCACAGAAATATGTTGACAAGCACCTGGTCTGCCCCGAGCACAGCTGAAAACCATTGGCAAACAGGATTAGTTCACCCACAACATCACAACCTAAAATTGTCAATCAATGATCCCAGCAATGCTCTCTATCATAATGCCTCTTGTTCTGGTCATTGCATTTGGCAAGTCACACTCCTTTTTGATTGCGCTTTCTTTGCGCCGTGTGTAGCATTGGGCGAGCTACCTGGGCCCCACGCTCGTTACACTCGAAAGTGGGGCATACCAAGACAGAGAGTGTTAACACTCTTTGGAGTGAGAACCTGGCATCTGGGACCTGTGCAGAACATCGATCCATGCATCTGTTGGGTGCGAATTGGGTGCAGGAGGGTAGTACTTTCAACAGTTCTCGAGTCCAACCTTGAGATCCCCACCCCGAGCAACGGGTTGAGGCATGTCAGAGTGAGACGCCTGCACAAAACGTCTTACGCAATACTGACTGGGAATGGGAAATCTCCAACCCTACACAATGGATTACAGCCCATTTTAGAAGCTGGGTTTATCCTTGGCGCCCCTTGCTTGAACAAAGTCGACTCGCTAAAAGTGTTCAACTCTTTAAGCCAAGCCCTTCATTTTCACCAAAGTCGGGTGGCCAAGGGTACAAGCAACCCGCATCCTGGGGCCGGAATCGCTCGCTTTCCTTCTGAGCGGTAGGCTCATGATCATGAGGCAACATTGCATTGGTTTCTTTATATTTCGCCAGGAAATATACTGCATCCTAACCTTTGCACATTTATGTTCTGTGCAGAATCGATGTGACTTTTCCTGTTTGACAGGATGCACACCGTCCTCTATGGTACAGTCTTTGGGCAGCTTCAAAAGTTCTGGCACCAAGTGAGCTATACTCAAAATCCGCTAGCAAAGTGCAAGTAACTTTCAACATCCTAATGAATTGAACCTTACTACCCTTCCTCCACGCGGGCTTGATTCTGGCTCGAGTGCCTCTCACTACCCTGCCAAGTCCGGTTCCGAACTTGGCCAGTTTTAGGAGCGATCATTATATAACTTTGATAATGACATCAGTTCCAAAGTCGATTGCAAACCAAGAGTCCCTTCTCCCTCGGGTCTTTCAAAGGAAACTCATCGCCCTAAAGTGCTCAACAAAGATTCCTGGCCAATCAACAGTTCTTGAGAGGCTTTTGAACAAGAACACCTTGGACGCTATGCACAAGACCGTCGGTCCAGGCGCTCGAAAGCTTGAACATGAGCTTAAAGCCGCTCGTTTGCTCATGCCGGCGGCCAATCTCAAGTGTTGGCTTCCATCTTGTCCTGATTGAAAAGGGGGGTCTGTTTGCCGCCTTTTGTGGAACAATGATCGCACACCCGCGCAGTGAAGAATTCCTTTTTGAGTGGGTCGCCAACTGTCTCACAAAAGGTGGCAAAACGACACACCTGTGATCGAATGACAAGGGGTCCTTTCCCTGAGCCAAAGATTTGAGATACCTGTGTTGGCTTCCTGAAACCGCCTGCAGGTGGCATATGCCAATATTCATTGGGCTTCACCTTCCACAATGGCTTCAGTAGTTAGCTTCACTGCCACCAAATCGCCAGCCAAGAAACTTGGGG